CCACGTCCCTGCATTGCCTCCAGCCCCTCTTCGTCCGTGACCTCTGCCTGGGGAGGCTTGCTGCCTGCCGTGCTGAACGTAGCCTGAATTATTTTGCTTCGGAATCTTTCAAACTTTGGACAAAAGAGGAAAGAAGTATGTGTGTTTAGTCTTTATATACAATTCTTTGGCGTTTGCATGAATTTACCAAGACTACGCTGTCAGCCTTGGACAAAGTACTAGTGAACGATGAAGTGGAAAGTAGTTTATGTGACATCAGAGGCAGTTTGAGTGGGCTTCACTGCAAGTTCTGTGATAACGATGTGTTTCTGGGTGGACCGAGTCCCTACCCCCAGGCATGGGGCTCTGTGCTTGCTACCAGGCATATGTGCCTGCAGGAGACAGCTCTAAGGTGATATCTGTTACTTTGAGTCTGAAAGGAGATTAGAAATCTGGTGATGTAACTGTTCTGACCTCGAGTTTCTCAAGGACTTCTGGTATTTAAGGCCTGTTTGCTGTGTTAGTGGCAGAAGAGCTGCGTGCTAAAAAGCTGGGAAGCAAACGGGCTGAGTTTCCTGCTCCTCGGGCCCTGGCAGCAAAGGACTGCAGTGCCCTGGTGCATCTCCCGCTGTGCCACTGCCCGAGAATGTCTCTAAGCTTTCAGTTTCTCCGCTAGAAGTGGCCGAATCGTCTCCCAGGAGGGCGGGAGGAGCCTGACGTGACGGAGGCTGCACTTACCCTGCTGCTGATGCGTTCCAGTGCCACCCTAGCGCGCAGCTCGCTGCGCTGCAGCGTCTCAGCTTGGCTCTGGATCTCCTCCTGGGCCCGCTGCTGCGTGTGGGCGCAGCGTCGGCCGGTCAGAACCTCTGCCTGCAGCTGGCTCACCGTCGCCTGCAGCTCACTGATCAGCTTGTTCTGCTCAGCCAGTTTGGACTCCTGGTCTGTCACAACCTGAGGACATGTGTAAATCAGGCAGTTACAGTGAGGAAGAAATGAGCAGGTTTGGCTGTATCTTCCCAGTATCTGGTCCAAATGTTTCTTGTATTTTCTGGGCAGATTCTACTGACTTGCAGCCTTGCCAGTACTGGTAACCATTATTGGCACTTTGTCTAAAACTGCAGATTGAGTAGGTTTTTTCATGTGGCAAATTCCCCTGAGCCTAAACCAAGCACAACTAAGCAGCTGATAGGAGAATTTTCTATAGCGGCTTTGCGCCAAATTTACCTGTCGAAGACTGCAGTTCTCCTTCCCTATTGTCACCATTGTTTCTTCCTGTTTCTGTTCTTCTATCAGACTGTAAAACTTAAGAGAAAATATTTTACGCTTCAGTTTTGCAGTTCAGAGGTGTACCTCCTGTCTTTGAGGAAGGGATCTGTCGCCCAGAGCCCGCCTTCCCCACTGCCAGCTCTGCTAACGGCGATGCCCACCATGCTCCCAGGGTGGTACCTTGGTGGACATGGCTTGTAGCTGATTTTCTCGCTCTCTCAGCTTCTTTTGGAGCATCTCCTTTTCAGAGTTGGTTCTCCGAAGCTGGGATTCTTGGATCTCCAGTTGCCTTTGCAAGGAGGAGATGGCACCTGTGAGGTTGGAGTACTACTGTAAGCAAATGGAATCCCTGCAAAAGCTTCGTGGCTCCTTTTTTTGGGTGAGCATAAGCAGAGCTGCTGTAACCATCTGAGAGAGACCGTGGGTGACATTAATGCTCCAGCCAGTGAACAACGCATTGTGTAGTGGTGTCTGTGATACGTGTGAAATTAACTCCATTGTGTGGGGACTGGCAGAGCCGGCAGCACAAGCGCAGGTTTGCCGGGGTGCTGGAACACTGGGATGCCCCAGGACACTGCTCAGGGCTTCCTTGTGCCCTTCGCTTCTAAGAGGGGAGAGAAGGTGGTTCCAAAGGCAGGGGCTGAATGGGAGCAGGAGGGTTTGTGCTTGCGGGACCCTAACTGGGATGTTTTCCAGGCCGGAGGGGCGGAACCGCGGGAAGATCATAGAATCATGGAATGGTTTGG